ACCAGCCGTCGAGATTAACGGCATATAAAAGCGACACCCTTCGTTCGGTTTGTATTTTTATACTATGTATATATTCATTTATTCAGATTTTATTGGGCTATGCACACAAAAAAGGAGAGAGCGTGACCTGCCGTTATTTTTAATTTCCTGTCGACAACGGCCAAATCGCCCCGCATGTATAGTGCATAAAATGTGCCCAAAATTCCAGGGGACGAACAGAATTTAATCACCTCGCATTTTTGTTGTAATAATCCAGGCAGAGAGTGATTAAGTAGCAAAGAACTTAAAGAGGCGATCAGACCTTAAAGTACTTTCGCCTTTGAGCTACTACTGGACTTTTCCATTCTATTCGCAAAAGTCACATAAAGTGCACGAGATTCTAAAGATACACGGAAAATTTAGGGCGTGAAACTCATAATCCTTCCCAAAGAAGCATTGAATTTTAATGTGACCTTTTCCACTCTTTCAAACATTATTATGTCTATTCGCTCTTTGACTTTCTTTGCTAGTTAAATAAAAATATACAAAAATGCATACAGCAACAACCATTTCTTTAACGAACCTTTAGGCAATCGATTGAAGAACTGAGTCCCGCAGTAGACCATGCAACTCGCCCCAAGCACAGCTTTTCACTTATTCCAGTAAACAAATAAATGTGAAGTAAATTACGCTTTTTATCTTGATCACTAGCTCATTCCTCCGTCTTCGACATCACTAAGCTGAGACTAAAGCGGCAGAACTTTTGCGCCTCCCACATGACAATGGAAGACACTTTCATGATCATGTAAAAGTTATAATCGGTCATTGGAACAGAGCCAGAAATCCGCATTTTCAATTGTGTGCAACTTATTTTCGGCTACAATTGCAATTGCACCCTGACAAAATAATAAATGTTTGTTGTGCGTATTACGATGTTTTCCATTTATCCCGAAGTTAAAATTTAAAAATCCAAATGCTTGAAACATTCAAATAGGTTCCAACCTTCGCAAATAAATAAAGCACGAGGAATATTCATTAGTCGTTTCAAAATCATCATAACGAAGTGAAAAAGACGGCTCTGGTACACTTCCTTGACTTCTCGAGTGGATCGTAAAAATACCATTACAGACTGCAACCAGCAATGAAAAGTTTCCATGATAAATGAAAGCACGACTTTTCAAGTTAGTTGCGGCCAAAGTTTCATTGAAACTCCACAGACCGTTAACAGTCATGTCACCACAACAAAGAAACAATTAGAAAACTTTGAATTGAGCCGACTTGTGCTGGAAAATATTGACTGCGCCGCGGAATTTTATGATGGAGTTAGAGAACCCTCTAGACAAAATTTCGTTAGCTGGAAGTTTCAGTTTAGTGAGACAATAGGAGTTTTAAAATAAATAAGGGGCCAAAAGATACGAAATATTCTCATATACTACAGGTGATTTTCATATCCAAATTACACACACAAAATCTGGCATCGGTAATGAAATTTCGGGAAATATTGATATAATTCCGTCTCAATCGCCGCATCCAAAATATCATTTACCCGATAAAATCCCACTACTGTTTCGACTTCATTTAAATAATTTATGACTACAAAAGCAATTAATTCGGTTTCTATTCGGGAATAACGGCAGTTTATTTTATTAAAATTAAAACGGTCTGCTTTTCTGCCTAAACTCGAAAGCAAAGCTCAATCAGAGCGGCCATTCATGTTGTCAATGCCATCAATGCATATTTATATTGTGTTCTCCGGATTCGGAATGATTGAATTTTAAATTTATATTAAATTACTCTATAAAATACGGCCTGCAAAAATCCGCACGGATAAATATATGGATTTCACTGCTCCGATCGAAATATACTTGGATTCTTTAGAACACAGATTAGATTATTTGCTGCATGTTCAATCGTAGCTTCCTTTTTCAGGGGATATTTCCCGGGTTTTATCGAATACGATACATTTTTCATTTCTTCACCGCTTTAAAGTATGTTTTTTTTGAATTTTTAATTGTTCTCATTTGCAAATTTTCTATATTTAAGCAAACGGCAAGGAGAACCTTGAAACTTTACTGTTAAATAAATTGGAGTTTGAAAATCAACTGAACATGTTGAAACTTGTCTGTTGATCATGTCTTGTCTAGATCCTTTGTTTTTTGTTCGTCAGTGTTTGTTAAGCATCTCAGGTGGATTTTCTTCAGGCCGGCAACTAACAAAAATGTATAATTTTGCAAAGTTCGGCTCTGCAAAGCTGCTAGTTGGACAAAAATGAGGTTTTTCGGAACACCAAAAATTTTAAGATAAACGAAAAAGCTCGAAACGGTTTTTAAATTTATTCACAGCTTTGAACAGCGGTGTGGTATTGCAGCGATAACTTATCTCCTTTTGGTCCGACTTACGATCTTGAGCTCATGCTGAAGCAGAAACTTCATAGACATTTTAAGAGGAAAATTTACCCAAATCAGAATTGTCCCCAAAATGTATGATTCTGGAAGATTTTTAACTAAGTGAAGTTAAGGTTCAAATATTTCGTTCATTAATGCAACAGATTCAGATCAGATTCTGCTAATCAGTTCAAAATTTTAAAAATATCACTACAATGCCTAAAGGTTGATTTTTTGAAGACCTATCTGTAAATGAACAAGATAATCGAAAAAATCAAAAACTTTTAGAGATACGAAGTCCATGTTAATGCGTGTGATCTTGATATGCAAAAAAACGTTTCTTTGTCCAACTGAGAGCTTGTAGATCTTCCACCCATAGAAAACGTATCTGAAGCATTAATTCTCTTGTAAAAATAATCACTAACCAAGGAAGAATTGCACTAAATAACGCTTCCAACAGAAATCGAATCGCTATCGAAATTTATCCAGGTCCAAATATTGTTTTGTTCGTTTTCTTCCGCGCGACAGTTTCTGCACATTTAGTCAGTTCTCTGACGTTTAGAGTCACCAAAAGGGCAAAATTTCTTAATAAAATCCCTTAATTAAAAGCGACTTTAGGGCGTGACACTTTAAAACATTTGAATGATGAAGCGAAATACCCAAAAAGAAGTTCGTAAAAAATGAATCCGCCTCAACAATATAGAACTTATCTACAACTTTAAAACATGTTTCAGTATTTTCCAAAATACTGAAACAGCCCGAAGCATTCATCGAAAAAATGGCGAAATGATCAACAGTCTTAAGAATAAATATTGTCTTTTTACCAGTAGGGCAGTGAACAAATGAAACAATGTAATTAAAACAAAATACTGAATAATCCTCCCCAAAACTAATTCAATTGTATGTCGGGTCGGGTAAAAAAGCTCCAGGATGGGAGGGCGAACGAACATTCCCAAGGCAAATTGTTGGAATATACTGAGCCAAACCCGAAATTTCCAATACCCTCAAATAACTACCGAGCTAGGAAACACCATTACCCAAACCCCAACTTTCAGTGAAAAATGAAAACACGTCGCTTGAAGTTAGTTCTTACTGAAATTTCAGCAAAAGCCCCGACCGGTAACAAGCACGCCACCAAAATAGGAAAACATTTAGGAAACTTCAAATTGAGTTCTAAAGGACAATATTGAGTTTCGCCTGGAATTAAGATTTAGAACAGAGAACGGAGATAATAAGTTCCAGAATTATGTTCACTTGCGCTCTATTGGGATCATTAGGAAACATATATTCGCAGCTCAAAGTTTGCTTTTTAGGCCAAATTACTAAATAAATAGGGGACAAAAAATTGCGAGTTATTACAAGATAGACGCACTTCTAACAGAAACTTAGCTACATAATCTGGACTGGAATTCCTCCATTTTAACAATAATAGATAATGAATGATGATTCGCCCATCTGATTTCCAGAACTGAGCCACTTTCGCTTGCAAATGAACAGATATTTGAGACCGTCGCAGGCATAAAATGCAGCTGACAACTTCTGCGCTTTAATATGGAAGAGAATAAATCGCATCGATAATTGGGCAATGATTGTATCAATCCGCAAAATCGTGTTGAACATTTTAACACCCTCCCATGCATTATCATACGAGCGCCAATCAATTTGAATTTCAAACACAGCGACTAATTAAGCGCTGATCTACGTCAACAACAAACTCCAAAACTAAATAAACTGCGAATCCTGCACAGCGCACTGGCAGAAATGCAGTCAAATTAATTTCGCGTTTACATTTCGTCAGTTTCGTTTGTTTAAACCAGTTGTTACTTTGGCTTTATATACTTTAACGCATTTTCGGTTTCAAGGGTTTAATGAGCAGGAATTATGTGAGTTTATTTCTATTTATGCCTGCTGTTATATGGCATTTCATTATGGAGCGATATTGCATCTGCATACCGCTTCAGCTTCAAATAGACTCAATTTCCCATGCCCCATGACTCTTAAAATGTTTCATCAAACAAATTAAATGCAATTCGCGAAATATTCACCAATTAAAAATACGTGATTAGCGAAGCAACAAAAAGATGTTTTTTTCTGCCTAAAGGCGTAATAAGCAAAACAAAAATAGGGGGTACAAAGTTCTTTGCCATGGGATTTCATTAACGCCATATTGCGCCCGATATTTTCGCTCGAAACTTTGTCCAGCAGGAAGTTTTCTAATTGTTTCCCTATTTCGGTGACACGCTTGTTAACGCTCTATGGAGTTTCAATGAAACTTTGGCAACGAACTGACTTGAAAAGTCGTGTTTTCATTTATCACTCGCAAAGTTTTCATTGCCGCTTCTTACAATGGCACTTTTACGAAACGTCCAAAACGGAACATATTAAAGCTGTGAACCGGAATTTATGTGGCATTTCACTTTGAAATCCGTCAGAGAAAGTTTCGTTTCAATATGCGAAGTATCGTTGCAGGATTGATTAGTGACTTTTGCTGCTCATGCAGCTTTAATCGAGGGTATTTGTTTTATTTTACCACCAAAGACCCTAAATATACAAATAACAGGAGTTCGTTAATTTGATTTTGCATAGAACCTTTTAGTTCATACGTCACTTAAAAAGTTTCAAGGCACAAAAATATTCTATTATAATTTAAATATATTATACAATATTGATTTCAAAACATTACAGGATAGATTCGTTTCAAATCTTATAATGCAAATTGACCTGGCCCAGATGTCTGCCTGTTCCTCCCATCGCGTTATTCATATTTAAATATGGTTTCAAATATTTAAACTAGTACAGGTTTCGCGGATAAACATGGAAACCTTAAAGTGATTAATTACGGGCCTAATAAAATATTTACGCTTACCTTTTAGAGCAGGGCGTGGATCTCGCAGAGCGTCTCAATTTAAGTGTTAGCAAGGATTTTATTTTGGCCCGAAACTGCTGTTTGTTCAACTAGTTGATTTTCTATTGTAAATTGCTGGTTTTTTTCGCTTTTTCTCTCTAAAAAATGATTCAAATTATTTCTTTCCCCATAAATTTAATTCGGTAAAGTTTCGAGCATTTGGTTGTGGGGTGAGAGATTTGAAAGTATTCCAATACGTTGATCCAGTGCAGCAATAAAACATCGCCGGCTCGTAAGCAAGTCTGCATTCCAATTTCCTCAACATTCCAAAAGCAATACGTAAAACTCTCTCTATCTCTAGAGAGTAATAAATAAATAACGCAATCCACTATTCGAATGCGAACCTCAAAAATGTATCAGATCGTTTAAATGGGAACGTTGGTCGCTTCATCTTTTTGGCAGATTTGGAAACTTTCGCAAATAAACCTTTGACGGTTTAACATCATTTCTAACGCTTCGGCTGTTCCATGAAAATGGCTTCTGTGTGTGCATTATTAAAATGTGATCGCCTGCCTTTGAATTATTTCCACTGCCGGCTTTATTCATGAATAAAAACTGCCAAATGCGAACTATTGAACAAGCTACTAAATCAAAACGCATATTTGTTTATAAATGCTATTTATAACATTCTAGACATTTGAAAACATTGTTTTTATTCATGTATTTAAAGTGTCGCAACTTTTACAATTAGATGATCCGTTAAGCTATTCGATAACAATACACGTTGCAATTTTCTATGTTTGTGTTGTTTTTGGATTTAATTAGTGATAAGAGGATTTAATTTGTTTCTAGAAATAGATAGCTATCTTCAAATAATGCAGAATTTGCAATTAATCTTATGAAAAATTGCAACCAATTACTTTTAAAAGTAGCATAGCGCATCATTCTGAATCAACTCAAGAAAACAAAGCGCACTCCTGCCAATTTTCGAAATTTGAAATTTGAATTAAACGGCTCGATTATGGTCTTAGTTCGTAACCAGACAACAAGCAAGACGTAAGTAAAGACGTTCGTTAATATTCCACAAGAATCATAAAAATCAAACAAAACATCCCAACCAACTTCAGTGAAACTTTTTCGAATACAACAAAAAAATATATAAATGAACAGCTCTCGCATTTAAATGATCTCGTGGAATTTTCAAGCGTCTTCTCTTTATTTGCCGAAACGCGGTATATAATATTTATTTACCGCCTTCTGGAAATTTGCATTTCAGATATATTCCCTTTTCAACATTCTCCTTCGTAACGGATTCAGGATGCGGCCTTTTGTCGGAATATAATTATATTATTTATTGTTTAGTTCGCTGATGCTCTTGGATTACAAACTAGCTTTGAGATCGATTCTCAAACCAGACTAGTTGCGGTAAGAGAATGAAAAAAAATGAGAATAAATAATTACTCCCAAAATAGGATAGAAACAACTGATGAAAATGCAGTACCTACTGAAACTGATCAGTTTTCCGTGCTTATAGGCAATAGAGGGAGAAATCATAAATATTTTTTCCAAGACTGCATAAAAGACCCTAAAACTTTTCAGTTTCAAGCAACGGCTGCTAAAATTGAACTCTTCTGAAGAAGTTTGTAGTTAAAATTGTTTAATACACAGACTGCACATATTGCACAATTTCCATTTATAAAGTCAAGGTTCATTCATCACTTGGAACATTTTTGATTCTGTAACTGTTTTAATTCGAAACTTGTAAAATCTTAATCAATTTCCAACATTTTAGGTTAAGCAAAAATCCCGATTTACTTAACGTCTTTTAGTCAAGGTTCTCAAAGAAACTATCAAAAATTGAAGACATCTTGGCTCAAAAGAAAATCAAGCAATTCAAATAGACATGAAAAACATTCAAAAAAGCGACTGAGAAAACTAACTAAAATCCGAATTCGAATTCGAATTGTATAAAACTTTAAACATGCATAAGGTCTATTTTCTATTATATTCTTCCTTATGCCTTAAGGTCCCATAACTATACGAACTATCAAACATGAGCGTGTGTTTAAGCAAACTACAAATATTCTAGCTAAATAAACCAGCATCCGAATTGAGTAGAACTTTTTATATTTCTTCGGTCAAGTTTCAGTTATATCGAATACTATAAGTGAAACTTGACTTGAAACCTCCTTGACCTAATATTTACGGAAATTTCAACGACTAGTTGAGTTCAAATTGACAGTTATTTAAAATTGAAATTTGGTAAAATCAACAGTTCAATGGAGTGAAACTCTATCTAAACTGTCAATAATTTGAAATCGATAGTGAATATCAGCATTTTTAATGGAAAATAAAAATGTTTCCAAAAGACACTTACCCAAGAAGTGCATTTGTAAAGTCGAGTTTCCCCACTCTGCAGACATTAGCTGTTTTAGTCGCAACTATGCTGGAACTAGAATTGAGTAAAACTTTCGACTTTTATAAAGTCAAATTTTAATATTAATTTGTTAAAATGTTATATCTGTCTGGAAACTCAAAAATCCATTTGAGGTTTGGGGCAAAAGAATGAATGTCCAAATATGAAAGTTTCTGAAGTTATAAATGCAAGTTTCTCTTATTCTTCTCCACATCTTGCCTGCTTTATTGATTAAGAAAGTTACGAGTTATCTGAATATTTAAAGCAACATTCGAACTAAATAAACCTGGTTAAATTTTACAAAATTTGTACCCAAGGTTTCGTTACATACTTCAAACATTTCAGAGGCTTTTGCGGAAAAACCTAACAAGGATTTCAATCAAGTGAAACTCTCCAACACTCGAAGACAGAGTTGTAGCTGAAAGTTGCGGATCTTCAATGGAACACGCCGCAGGTATCAAGTTTGAGAAAAATCCAACTCAAGTGAAACTTTCAATATTTATACAGTCAAGTTTCCTTTAAACTGAGAGTCCCAGTTGAGTGAAACTTTGAAAGTTGAAGTTGAAATTGTGGCTATTGAAACCGGGAAACGAGAAAAAGGACTTGGAAACTAAACACGCAACAATGTCAGTTTCACACAAGCAAATTTACGATTAGGCCTGGACCTACTTGTAACTGTGGTGCCAGAATCTTGTTTGCAATTGCCGAACACGATTTATTCCGCACAGCTAATGGTCATTCATATTAATATGCATGCGAAATCGAATTATTTCACGGGGTCAGATGTAATATCTGTATTTTCTGCAACAAAGCCGAACGGCCATCGATTTTCGCATTAAATTCTAAAATCAACCGGGCAGCTCAAACATAAATAAGCTATTTTCCTGTAATTCGGATTAGCTTTTGCATAAATCAGTTTCAGTCGAAGCTAATCCCCTTTCAAATGTATGCTCGGTTCAAATGGGATAATTATGTCATCGTACGTTATTCAATTATTCATTGAGTAATTATTAAATATTTTCGTTGCAATTGCTTCAGCTTCAAACGAGACTGTTAACAATGTTATCCTACTAATACTTACAGCAGAAAGTTTCTAATAAAAACATGTTAATTTAGATAAAATAAAGTTCAATTTAGAACTAGACGCTGGACGAATTGAATTGAAAATCATTGCAACGGCGTTAGTATAAAATTCATTAAACCTCTTTGATTATCCCGATTTAAAGGAACAGGCGACTCCTGTTCTTTACAACAATGAAGCGTCGAGAGGGCATATCTTTGCCGATTTTATTGCCAGTAAAACGCTGTCGGCATTTTGTTGCAATTTCAAATGGAATTCGCAAGGAAAAACGAGCACCATTAGAGGTAATAAAGCCCTTTTTATTTAGACAACGTTGAATTTTTTTAAACGTAAACTACTCCCTAATAAATAGTAATAATGAAGTCTCAGAAACAATGACGAAAGTATTTTGCTAGATTAAAGGCTCTAACCCAGTTATAAATTCGCGACCTTTGAGAATCAGTTGAAATTTACAGGAAAGTAGAAAAAAATGGCAAAATGATTAAATCTGTAATTCGACTGATATTAAAGTGCGCGCCTGGCAAATGTCCAGCTTGATATACAATAAGTGATTTACATTGTAACACTAATTATTTAGCTGCAAATACACACTATAGCAGACATTCCGTGTAACGATGTCGAATCATGGAAAGCAGCAGTAATTTGCAGAAACAGAGACATGATGATGTTCAATGGCCATTTAACAGCAATCCCGGCTGAATTCCGTCACTAAATATGCAAACTATTATTGATGCCATAAATAACGATTATGAAACGTTAATATGAATAAAATTGAAATCCTGTTGAAACCTGCTAAAAATTTTTTTTTAGAGAAAATCGAGTTAGATCTTCAGCTGTTAGTTCTTGAATGTTTACAAAATATGTTTGCTAACGACTCTAAGAACACACGAAAAAATTAATAAAGTTTATAGTCATCCAGATGGATGGCTCGATAGATAATGAATTAGCCTTCATTCTCAATTTTGGACGATAACGAGAAAATGGCCCATCATCCCGAGCAGTTTTTAAAAAGTTTCTCCGATTATTCTCAAACGGCTCTTAAAAGTAATTACTGCTCTTAATTGGTTATTAGTTGCCAAAGTCCCGTAGGAATCCTCAAGATTGCTAATCAGATTACACTTTCCGCTAATTAATTCGATGCGAGTGATGAATTAGTTCAACTTCTTGTGTCTGCTATTGGAATTTTCAACTAATTTTTAAGTTTGATTTAATGAATAATGAACTTTATTTACTCCACTTAAGGAATAAAACCTGGAKGCTTAACGAAGAAGCAAGCAAGAAAAAGTGGAAATTTATTAAAGATGAGCGCGACAGTTTGGAAGTACYAAAAACCAAACAGAATAAATTAAATTTTGAATATACGCCGCCAATGACCAAAACTAATGTAAAATTACTTCWAGAAATACTTTCAARTGATTTGGGAGCAGGCAAAAATWATCYGACTAAATTMATTTCCYGRYGGAAATTGTTCTCAACGATTATTTTGCATAAAACCAGTTCAACAGGGCAGAAAGACCGATTGGGTCGATAGCCTTTTTCTGTAGGAAATAAAGATTATTTAAATATTATATATATACCAGTTCAACTGTGTGATTTTCATAATAAAAATAATATTTCGCTGACAGCCCGGGAAGTTTTTCGGCAAATTATCC